TCCAATACTTAAGTCACTAAAAATTTTACGATAATAACATCAATTACGAGTGCGTAAAATATTATGAGACTTTGATTAGAGTTAGCCTTAATATAAGCATTTAGTCATAGCACTTCATTGTCCTTGTTCAACTAGAACATTGTTATTTATTTTGTGTGCAATCTGTAAATTTGTATTTTCAAATGATTTCATGCATGACAATTTATTTTTCACTTCTAAATAATTATATAGGCCAAGGAGCGGTATGATTATACTATTTAAAGTTTATTTGGGACTTATATTACTACAAACGAATACACCCACTTCTAGGGTCCAATGACTCTTTCATCTTATAATGCTCCGAAAAGATGGCCTAAACGAAAATACACACTGTTTTTAACTTTTCATCTTACTCTACATGACTAGTGGAATAAATGGGATTATCTATGACCTTCACATGATCATGTGCATAGGTACTTTAGTTTTGAGAGGTTATCAATCAATTCAATAAATGTCACCCAAAAGTCCTTTACTCATATTGTCTTTTCTTGCCAAATAATAATTTCTAGTGAGAAAAAGGAAAGTTAGAGGGGAAAAAATATTTAAATATGTAATAAAAAATAATAAAGTGAACGATGTAAAATAAATATGAAGGAAAAAAAGGATTGGGACGTAAACTTGATTTCACTCTAAAGGGTCTTGTTTAATTGCATGATGGTATAAAAAAGGGTAGTACTATTTACCACCCTTTTTACTAGTCACCACTCTCTTGGACGATTTTGTTCTTTTCATTTTTTCCAAACATCTCAGAGCAAAGTGTACGGTGAAATGTCTTCAAATTCCGAGGTACGAAAAATTTCTTGTCCGGCCGGCGAAACCGGACGGCTTTTAGCCCGTCCGACCGCCAGAACCGGACGGTCCAAAAGGCGTCCGGTCGGACGGGCTATGTCCGAACTGGCTGGCCGGACGCCTTAAAAGACGTCCGGCGGCGACGGCTGGTCGAGACCGGTCCGTCTGGTTCGACCGGCCGGACGATTTTTTAATTTTTTTTCTTTTTAAAATTATTATGTTATATATTCGAAATAATTATGTTATAAATTGGACGTTAGATATTATCGTGTTAGGAGTTAGAAATGATTATGTTACATTTTAGACTTGATTATGCTATTAATTGGACGTTACATATTATCGTGTTATGAGTTAGAAATTATTATGTTATATTTTAGACTTGATTATGCTATAAATTGGACGTTAGATATTATCGTGTTAGGAGTTAGAAATTATTATGTTACATGTTAGACTTGATTATGCTATCTTGATTATGCTATAAATTGGACGTTAGATACTATCGTGTTACGAGTTACAAATTATTATGTTACATGTTAGTCTTGGTTATGTTATAAATTGGACGTTAGATACTATCGTGTTAGGAGTTACAAATTATTATGTTACATGTCATAGTTGATTATGTTATACATTGGACGTTAGATATTATCGTGTAAGGAGTTACAAATTATTGTGTTACATGTTAGACTTCATTATGCTATAAATTGGACGTTAGATAATATCATGTTATGGGTTACAAATTATTATGTTACATGTTAGAATTAATTATCTTATACATTAGAATGAATAGATTATAATTTAACATGTTTTAAAAATATAAATATTGTACTATATAACAGGAGTCATGTGAAGATTTTGGAGGAGATGGTATTGATTACAGTCTCAGTTTCGATACCCATACATTATATAAGAGTGATAAGGAGGCTATTGAAGCTGCAAAACACTAGGCAATACTGAATGGTTTCCTATTAGTAATTTCGAAACACAAAAAGAAAACGGTCAAGCTTTTGAAGTGCCATAGAGGCGAATGCTACAGAGGCACAGGCGGAAATTCTAGAAAGACAAAAACAAATAAGTGCAATTGCGATTTTGAGATCAAAGTAAAAAAGGTTTCAGGCGAGCCATACTGGAGGATTTGTAGATGTAGCAAGGAAGAGAAGAGCTACCATAACCATACCTTTGCTGTTTATCCTGAAGGTCATCGCCAGTTGAGCGGCCTCAGCGCTTCATCTAAGAATATTGTTCATGATATGATGGACGCTCAGGTGGCCCCGGCAAAAATTATGGACGCGTTGAAGAAAAAGAATCCGGGAGACAACGTTCATGTGCGACAGATATATATATTTATATCTTGTAATATATGTTTTAATTAACTTTTTGAAGTTAATTATAATAATTAGTAATTTTATTATATCTAGAAGTTATTGTAATAATTAATAAATTTTATTATAATTAGTTAAAATCTTTTTTATGAAATAAATTAATTAATATACTTTTTTATTTATTAATATAATAATTTTTTGTTTTAAATTATAATGATCATTATCATTAACGCTAATCGGTGACAGGTATATAACTTTAGAGATAAGCTGCGGAAAGAGAGTTTTGAGGGTCGATACGTTCCTTCCCAGCTTATGCATTTGGCTATGAGCAGCGAGTATACAGTTTATGCAGAATCCGATCCGAACACGAAAGCGTTGACGCATATATTCATGGCCCATCCTGTGTCAGTCAATCTATTCCGGACATATCACTGGTATGTCGGCATAGATTCCACGTACAAAACCAACAGGTATGTTACTTTATAAATACTTTATTAGTATGAATCTTAAATAGTGTGTTTGATTAAGTTAAATTTTATGTGATTATATTTTTTATCTTCTTGGTCTCATTTGCACAGGTACAAGATGCCGTTGGTCGAGATGATTGGGATGACGCTGTGCAACCAGAACTTCCTAATTGTGTATGCGCTCATCAGGGACGAGAAGGAGGCCAGTTACGACTGGGTTCTACAAAAGTTGAGACTACTGATAGGCCAAGGCATATATCCTAATGTGGTTGTCAGTGACAGAGAGTTGGGTTTAATCACTCCTATTCAAAGGCATTTTCCCAAATCAGCCCACTTACTTTGCACGTGGCACATCAACAAGGATGTGGAAGACAAAGCCAACAAACTCTTTGGGAAGAGTAAAAAATTCTCGCAGATTTTCACGCACAGTACGTGGAAGGCGATTGCGGAGGCCAGTACATTCGATGACTACACCGATGTCGTTGCCGAGCTGCGCGCAAAATACTCGAAGTCTCCACAGGTGGTACAGTATGTGGAGAACACATGGTTAGGGCGCAAAGAGATGTTTTTGAAGGCTTGGACCAACCGGGTGACACATTTTGGAAACACAACTTCCTGTAGGGTGGAGAGTGCCCCCCACTCTGTGTTGAAGCAGTGGCTTCACACGTCCACCGGCGCGCTCGATACAAATATGGCAGAAGATTAATAAGCAGATCGATCATCAAGTGACTGAAATCAGGTACATACTGCAATTTTTAAATGCATTATTATATTACTTCATTAATTATAATCTAATGTTATGTAATGTATTATCAGGTCGGCGCTTGAGGCTTCGAGATCTAAGAAGAGTACACGGTATAAGGGAATCTTTTTCACGAGCGTGATACTGAGGGTCTCGCATTACTGCCTGAGTTTAT